ATATATACATGCATACATGTAAAAATACACTTTATAAGTTAAAAAAAAAGAAAACTGGGGATACTATACATTAATTCAAAATATAAGCCAACGGGTAAAACATTTAGCTATAAGATAAATTCTGAATTTAAAAAAGATTTTTAGAAACTAAATAATTTATTATCTATTGCTGTATTGTAAATTACCCTCAAAATTGGGAACTTAAAAAACAAATATTTCTTATTTCACAATTTCCATGGTCAGAAATGTGGAAATGGCTTGGTGGGGTGGTTCTGGCTCCAGGTCCTTTATGAAGTTGTGGTCATGATGAAAGCCAAAGCTGCAGTCAACTGAAGGCTTGAGTCAGGCGGAGGCTGTGCCTTCAAGGTGGCTTACTTCTACACCTCACTTTCTGCCTGACTTTCCCATGTCCCAGTGATGTAGACGAAAACTTGTTTTCACATATGTGAATCTAGAAATTCTGTTCTGAGATTACAAAAGCTTAAAAAAGTGGATCTCATGAAGGCAGAGAGTAGAACAGTCATTAGCAGGGCTGGAAAGGGAATGAGGAAGGAAGGGATGAAGAGAAGTTGGTTAATGAGTACAAATATGCCATTCAAAGGAATACATTTTAGTATCTGACAGTGTGGGGAAACTGTAGTTCACAGTAATTTACTGTATATTCCAAAATAGCTTGAAGACAAGAATTGTAGTGTTCCCAACACAAAGAAAAATGTCCAGGCTGAGCACAGTAGCTCAGGCCTGTAATCCCGGCACTTTGGGAGGCCAAGGCGGGCAGATCACCTGAGGTAAGGAGGTCGAGACCAGCCTGACCAACAAAGAGAAAACCCCATCTCTACTAAAAATACAAAATTAGCTGGGTGTGGTGGCGCATTCCTGTAATCTCAGTTACTTGGGAGATTGAGGCAGGAGAATCTCTGAACCCAGGAAGCAGAGGTTACGGTGAGCTGAGATCATGCACTCCAGCCTGGGCAACAAGAGTGAAATTTGGTCTCAAAAAAAAAAAAAAAAAGAAAAATGTTCCAGGTGATAGATATTTCAATGATCCCAATTTGATCATTAAACATTGCATACATGTATCAAAATATCATGTCCATAAAAATATATACAACTATATCAATAAAAATATAAAAATAAATAAAATAACAAAAGTTACTTTTGCATGACTTTAATAAGTACCAAGGGAATTTGAAAGAAGATTCTACTTTTTTGTTGTTAGAATTTACTAAAATTTGTTCATTTAGGAAAATCATATCATTAAAAACACTTGTATTTGATTTTCCTATTCAATATACATGCATCCTCCTGCACTTAAAGCGGCTACATTTGTTGATTCTACCTATAGGTGTAAGCACTTGACTACTCACATGTCTTCTAGTTGAGTCACATTTGAGCATTTGCGTATTGATGTGCATACTATTTAATTATAAATTACTTTTTATTATTTCTCATTTGTATTGCATAGGATATTTTATTGACTTTTTAAAGGAAATTATGAGTGTGGCTGAGTTATGTTATCTGTGACTATTTCAAGATTGTACAAGGGGCATTGTAAAATATTTATTATGAAAAGGACATGTTGCATATGATGTGCTTGAGAATGACTATCATACAAACTGGTGATGTTACAGCACTCTCAGTCACCTTATGTAAGAAGCCCTTAACACTGTTCTTTCTACTAGAACAGATCTGTCAAGGAGAAACATAAAGTTAATTACATGTGTAAGATTAAATTTTCTGATAGCTACATTTAAGAGCATAAAAAGAAAGAGGTGAAATTAATTTTAATAACAATATATTTACTTAAATACTAAATATCATTTAAAATGTAATCAATATAAAAATTAAGATAATCTTCTTTGTTGTTGTTTATAATGTCTTTAAAATATGATGTGTATTTTACATTAACAGTATGTTCCAATTTGGATAAGCCATTTCAAGTGCTGAATAGACCCATAGATAGTGTCTGTACCATACTGGACAGCACAGTTCTGTATGTTCCATGAATTAAAAAATTCCAAGAAAAGGAATAAAATGTCAGAACCTCCCTAATTTATAAAAACGGACAAAATAATGGCTGCTGCCATCTCCTTTTTTCCTTCCTTTCAGCTCAAAGTCTTTATGTTTCAGCTCAAACACAGACCACCTGCAGCACAACTTCTGTGCCAGAGGCTGTGTGGAGAGGTGTAGCAGCAACTCAGTCAACACAACCACCTGCTACAACTCAAAACTAGAAAGTCAAGAAGGAGAATTCTTCTCTTGACACTTCCATCTTCATCCCTCTCCTTTATCTCTAGACCCTCAGATCCCTCCCAATCAGATATGCTCCCTCTCCACCCCCACTCCCTTCCACAAGTATGAAGCTTTTCTCCCCAAATGGCAAAAGCTCTAAAATTGCCTGTCATTTCTTTTCCTATGTTATGAGCATTTTGCTTATCCTTATTTAGCTGATGTCCTTGTTTTACCCCTGTTAACAAGCTCATTCCTACTCTATCCTTTCGCAGGAAGCATTATCACCTTTCAAGTTTGGTGGTTAAAACCACAAGCTATAGAAAGCAAGCAACAAACATGAGTTCACACCTTGTTTATCTCACTTAAAGCTGTGTGATTTTTAGAAGTAAATTAAACTCTGAGCTGCCTCTATACAATTCAGGTGAAAGTAATACCTACCTTGAGGTTTGCTCTGAGCCTCAACTGAAACAATGAGTGTAATCAAGTTACACAGCATGTCATACTGTGAGCAATTAAAAAATGAAAGCACTTATTATTTACTATTTCCTCAATCTATAAATCCTTTCCTACTTCTAGCCACATGTCCAAATCCTAATCATTTTTCAAAGTCTTTCTCAAGTCTCACCTGTTCTCTAAATCATCTACAAACCTTATTCTCCCCTTTTTGTGTATTTCTTGAGAACTCTCACATAAAGTCACATTGGTATGACTTCCGGTATGGGAAGTCATTTACTAAATTCTTTAGCTAATTTATGATGAATAAGGGAACAAAAACGATAGCAGATGCTGCTGACACCTGACCCTGCTTTCTCTTGACCCACCTGAGGGTTTTTTTGCAGCTGTGGTGGGCAGTTTTACAATTCACACCAACAGGCATGTTCCACATGGTTCTGCAGAAGTTTCCCAGTGGGATGGAGCCCCAGCTGCCCACAGCACTATTCCCCTCATTAACATTCACTTAATTGGCTTTGCTCCCTTCAGTCTCTCCTCCCTCATACCCACTTCAGGTTCCTAGATAAAACTTCCCTTCCTGGAATAAAACTCTCTTCCATCTCACCTTCCCTCATACCCACTTCAGCTTCCCAGATAAACCACCTGCATCAAAGTTCTTGTCTTAGATTTTGCTTTTGGGGAAACCCAAATAAGACAAAAGCTAATATTACTGAGTCCATATTGTATGCCAAACACCATGTTAGTCATTCTACTTTCATTATCTTCTTTTATATTCTCAACATTCTTGTGGGATTGGATATTATTATACTCATTTTGCAGTAACAAATTAGAAAGTCAAGACTCAAAATAATTAAGTGACTCACTCAGGGAAAATCTAGCAATCCAAATGCTTTGGGTACTGGTTTCTGAATTAATAATTGTATAGAAAAAATAAGATATTTTGGAATAAAGCTTTAAAAACATTACAGAAAAATAGGTAAAATTAAATCTCTTAGATTTAGCCAAAATATAACAAACTAAGATGTAGAAGCAGAATGTAATAAAATAGAGTCTGGAAACAACATACATTGAATACTTTGTTATTTAAATGCCTTACTTGTAGTCCACTTTCTTTATTCTGGGAAATAGAGACGGGAAGATATGGCAGCTGAGAGCCACCCGAATGAGTCAGATTTCATAAGAAAGTATTAGAAGATGAAACCAATTTGGCCTCTATGACATTGGAGAAAGAATTAGACAAAGGAGACTTTTGTGAGTGCTTCGATACTAAAAAGAAAGGCTTAGATTAATGAGAAAAATTACTGAGAAAAATTTTTCTTCCATATTAAAATTCTCATTTGGAATTGATTTTTTTTAATCTTCCCAAGTCACACAGGCCATATACATAAGGGTGATTGAATTATAACGTGAAATGTCAAATCCAATAAATGTGAGGAAGGAGATAGCTGGGCAAATGTTAAAGGAAGCAAAGGACAAAGAGATATGTTTCCATATTCAGAGGCAAGCATTAGATGACCAGCGTGCTTCCCGGAATTTTAGGAACTGTGTTAGTCAAATTGGAGAAGTCAGAAATACTCAACTAACATTAGAGAGCATTTCCTAATTGACCTGATGTATGTTACTCTCTGTCGTCCTATGGTCTGTCAAGTTTTTTGTAATTCTTAAAAAATTAGGGTGATGTGTTTGAGCCTATCATCTTCATAGAAAATTAAGTCCTTAATTTTCATGAAGTTTGAGATTACTTGATATTTCTGTTAAGCTCTGAGATTATCAGACAACATTTATGGTAAATCTTTATTACATATTGCCTCTGCAGTTACTATGGTTTGCCTTTATAATGCCACACAAAATCATAAAGAAACCATAAATTTGAATTGGGCATTATGGTTTCATTGCTTTGAATTTTTTAATGATCTTCACTTATGTGTAAACAAAGTGTTACATCACATTATTTATTGTAAATGTATTAGGTCTGCTATGAAGTCATTTTGTTTGGAACCCTAGAAAAAGTGACTTCTAGCCAACTGAGCTTTTATAGTGTGCCCTCTAATTCACATTTTAATAAATGTCATTTTCTAAGTGCATTACCTCATGTTTTGGCTAGTACCCTGAGAGAATAAGAGAAATGTGCTTTCTGACTGGTTCATCCATATTTTATTTTACTTTTCATTAAGAAATTACTCTTTGAAGAAAATCAATAATCTTCTATGACTGAGGGAAGAGGTTAGTGTGTTGCAGTGGTTCATTCTAATATCTAAAATCAAACTGCCTTTAGCCAGCTTTTGCTGATAGCATTTTTGTCCTTGTTCCTACAGCCTGGGTACATGGGGACCCCAGAAGAGCGACCTATCCTACAGACAGCCAGGGCCACTTTTGTGGCCAGAAGGGCACCCCCAATGAGTGAGTATGGCCACCTTTACTTTGTGTGATTTTACTGTCTAAACTAGAACTTAGATATCACTTTTACAGTAATCTTGCTATACTTCTTAAGAAGATTTAAATTTATAAAGGAGGCTTTCCCTCCCCTTTTCTAACAGATAGCTATAAGCAGCTGGGAAATTTTATATTATATGACTTAATGCAGCATTTTACTAGAATGCATGAAGACTCTACTTATAAAAATATAATTATAATGAATAGATTGGACCAGTGATTTTATCAGAAGGTATATTTTTAAATGTTTTATAAGTGGTCTATTAGAAAACTGAGATGTGAGTAGCTGCTACAAAGCTAGACAGTCCAGTTTTTAGGATTATTTACAGTCTACTGATAAATCATTCCACATTTCAAAGTGAGGAGAACACCCAGAAAGTCTTCAATGCTTGGTATCCTTTTCCAGGCAATGGCTGCTGTGGACAATGTTCCTGGTTAGCTGAAACAAATAAGGAAGAATGTTCTATCAAATTTCTTTCTAATGATAATCATAATAGAAGTTTGCATTTCTGAAAGCACATTGTCTATTTTTCTAACCTAAACAAACCACACACACAAGCAACCCCCACATACATCTCACATTTTTAGAAAACTTTTCCTCGTATCTCACTGGTCCATTTCTTCTTTGTGGAAACATGGGGTTGTTGCTGGAAATTCTGGTTCTTCAAAACCAGTTCAGTTTCTATAAAAGCTGGTTTTAGATCAGGCATCCCCAAACTACGGCCCGCAGGCCTCATGCGGCTCCCTGAGGCCATTTATCCGTCCCCCCACCCCCACCACCACACTTCAGGAAGGGGCACCTCTTTCACTCGTGGTCAGTGAGAGGAGCACAGTATATGGTGGCCCTCCAACGGTCTGAGGGACAATGAACTGGCCCCCTGTGTAAAAAGTTTGGGGACGCCTGTTTTAGATGGTTAACAAAAAACCCCAAAGCAACCACACCCCTCACTTCCAACAACAACAACAACAACAACAACAACAAACATAGCTGAGGACACTTTAGTTATGTTGTCTATGCAGATCACTTATAACCATAGAGCCTATTATTTCAAGAGATATACAGATTTTGGAAGGCAATATGCTCACCACTATACCACCAACACGGGATACACAGACTTTAAAAATAGATGCACAGTAATTTTTTAAAATGCCAATAAAAAATTCCAAAACCAGATGAATTCACACCTGAAATTTACCAATATTCAAAGAATTGGTACCGATCCTACTAAAATTATTCCAAAAGATAGGGACAAGGGTACTCCTCCCTAAATCATTCTATGATGCCAGTATCACCGTCATATCAAAACCAGGAAAGAACGTAACAAAAACGAAAGCTACAGACCGATATCCCTGATTAACATAAATGTAAAATTCTCACCAAAATACTAGCTAAGTGAATCCAACAGGATATCAACAAGATAATATATCATGATCAAGTGGGTTTTGTATCAGGGATGTAGGGATGGCTTAACACATGCAAAGTTAATAAATATAATACATCACATAAACAGAATTAAAAACAAAAATCCTATGAGCATCTCAATAGATGCAGAAAAAGCATTTGATAAAATCTAGCATTACTTTCTAATGAAAGCCCTCAACAAAAAGGAATAGAAGGAAGTTACCTCAAAGTAATAAAAGGCGTCTGTGACAAACCCACCTCCAACATCATACTAAATGGGGAAAAGTTGAAAGCATTCCCTCTGAGAACTAGAACAATACAAGAATGTCCACATGCAGCACTTCTATTCAATATAGTACTGGAAGTCCTAGCCAGACCAATCACACACAGAAAAAGAACTAACAGGCAAGTTGGAAAAGAGGAAGTCAAACTGTCTCTATTTGCTGATGATATGATCACATACCTAGAAAACTGTAAACTCATCCAAAAGGCTCCTAGACCTGATAAATGAATTCAGTGAAGTCTCAGGTTACAAAATCAATGTGCATGTACACAAATTAGTAACATCCATCAACCATGACCAAGATGAAAATCAAATCAAGAACTCAATCCCTTTTATAACATCTACATAAAATAAAGTACCTAGAAACACACTTAACCAAGGAGGTGAAAGATCTCTACAAGGAAAACTACAAAACACTGCTGAAAGAAATTATAGATGACACAAATAAATGGAAATACTTCCTGTGTTAATGGATGGGTAAAATTAAAATTGTGAAAATGACCATACTGCCAGAAGCAGTCTACAAATTCAATGCAATTTCCATTCACCATGATTCCTCACAGAACTAGAAAAAGCGTCCTAATTTTATATGGAATAAAAAAAGAGCCCACATAGCCAAAGCAAGACTAAGTAAGATCTGGAGACATCTCATTATCTGACTTCAAACTATATGTTAAGGCCATAGTCACTAAAACAGCATGGTACTGGTATAAAAAGAGGCACATAGACCAATGGAACAGAATAGAGAGCCCAGAAAAAAAAGCCAAATACTTAACAGCCAACTGATCTTTGACAAAGCAAAAAAAAAAAACATAAATTGGGGAAAGGACATCCTTTTCAACAAATGGTGCTGGAAAAACTGGCAAATTACAAGTAGAAAAATGAAATTGGATCCTCATCTCTCACTTCATGCAAAAATCAACTCAAGATGGAGCAAAAACTTAAATCTAAGACCTGAATCCATAAAACTTCTAGAAGAAAACATTGGAAAAATTATTCTAGACATTGATTTAGGGAAAGAATTCATGACTAAGACCCCAGAAACAAATGCAACAAAAACAAAAATAAAGAAATGGGACCTAATTAAACTAAAAAGTTTCTGACCAGCAAAATAAATAAGCAAATAGACAACCCAAAGAGTGGGAGAAAGTATTTGCAAACTATGCATCTGACTAAGGACTAGTGTTCAGAATCTGCAAGGAACTCAAACATATCATCAAGAATAAAGGCAAACAATTTCATCAAAAGTGCTCTAAGGACATGAATAGACATTTCTCAAAAGAATATGTAAAAATAGCCAACAAATATATGAAAAAATGCTTAACACACTAGTCATCAGAGAAATGCAAATTAAGACCATAATGAGATACCACCTTACTACTGCAAGAATGGCTATAATTAAAGAGTCAAAAACAATAGATGTTGGCATGGATGTGGTGAAAAGGGAACATCTTGACATGGCAGGTGGGAATGTAAAATAGTACAACCACTGTGAAAAACAGTATGGAGTTTTTTTAAAGAACTAAAAATAGATCTACCATTTGATTCAGCAATCCCATTACTGGGTATCTACCCAAAGGAAAAGAAATCACTATTTAAAAAATGTTTGTAGCAGCACAAGGATATGAAACCAATGTAAGTGCCCATCAACCAACAAGTGGATAAAGAAAATGTATATAACCATGAAATACTCAGCCATAAAAAAGGAATGAAATAATGCCTTTTGCAGCAACTTGAAAGGAGCTGAAAACCATTATTCTAAGTGAAGTAACTCTGGAATGGAAAGCCAAATACCGGATGTTCTCACTTATAAGTGGGAGCTAAGCTATGAGGACACACACACACATAAACACACACACACACACACTCACAAACATACGAAGTGATATAATGGACTTAGGGGAATCAAGGGTGGGGAGACTATGAGGAGGTGAGGGATAAGAGGCAACATATTGGGTACAGTGTACATTGTTCAAGTGAAGGGTGTACTAAAATCTCAGAGTGCACCATCAAAGAAGTCATCCATGGAACCAAAAACCATCTGTACCTAAAAAACTATTGATATTTTGAAAAACAATCTAAAAATGTAAATAAAAAGAAAAAAAAACAGATTCAGAAAAAGGTTAACAAAATTCATGAAGCAGAATTATCATAATCAAGAAAACCCAGAAATTTAAGGAGGGGACAAATCCCTAATCATGTCAGGATAAATATACAGGGGACTAGTTGACTCCTCATTGCCTGTTAGAGACAACTAGACTAAATTTTGATCCAGGGAGGTAATTCTTATTTTAACTTCAATAACTCAGAAAATCCTAGACATTGCCCACAAAACCTTTGCAACCTTTATACTATAAAGGACAAAGAGAGCACCAAGTGGTAAAAGAAACCATACAAATCTCTAAATCTCTAGTTCTTTAAGAGGGTTTATTTTTAAAAGGGAATTTGTAACAATAAGTTCTCCAGACCTAAGCCAATGACCTACTTATGTCAAACAAAAATGTGACAGCACAAATTTCAGTACATAATGATCTTTCAAAGATAATCCTCGCTTAACCCACACATGTTCATTAAAGTATTATTCAAAATAAAAATATATTAGAAACTACACAGATATCCAACAATACGTGGATGAAAATAAATTACGGCCTATCAATTTAATGAAATATAATGGGGCCACTGAAAATTATGTTCATATATTCAACAGTTGATTCTGTTGATATTTCCTTATAGTTTCTGGCGGATATGTTATCATTGCATTTCTCCCCCTGAAAATAATATTCTCCAATAGTTCTCTAGTATTTTGATGGCTTCCTGCTTATATTTAAATTTCTAATTTCCTTAAAATTTATTTTTGTATATGGACTGAAATAGAAATAAAACATTATATAACAAATAATAAATATATAAATATAAATAAATATAAATGATATGTAAATTTATATATTTGTTTCTGAATCTTATAAGCTGCTCTAATGTACATTTTTAAGCTTTGTGATTGTTTTAATTCTTATAATAAATGTGTATTATTTAAAACTTTAATGTTATTCTAAATTATATTTAGACTTTCAGTTGTAAAATATTTACAGAAATGTAAGATTTTAATTAATATTAAAAACTTTGTAAGCATAAGTTTTATTGTATAAAATAAAGTCCATTAGTTTGTTTTCACACTCCTGATAAAGACATACTTGAGACTGGGTAATTTATAAAGAAAAAGAGGCTTAATGGACTCACAGTTCCACATGGCTGGTGGAAGGCAAAAGGCATGTCTTACATGGT